AAGTAGAAATTGCATAATTATAGTACTTAGTGAAAATTAAATACAATTCATGTGGATTCGACACTCTTACTTCAATACTATATTACAAAACTTGACATCGTACACTTGTGGTTAAACTATGTTGCATCAAATGCGTGGCACCTAGTCAAGAATTTTGTAAGATTCAAGGTGATCAGGTAAAATGATATTTTTCTACTGCCAACTCTTGAAATTGAAGCCATTGAATTTGACACGCCCTACTCCAGTAACTTTAGTGGACCCAGAATGTGATGTGTGCCGATGATAGATACCAACTAAAGCTCGAACCCACCTTCAAGGCTACTACAATTACAATATGCAGCTTTTTTAAAAATTATTTTTAACAAAATTCCAACATTATCTCTTTTGTAAATAGGACTAACTGGCCTGTAATTCAAAATGCACAAGTCCCAAATATAACACAACGCAATAAGGATCGATCGAAATCTCAATTTTTACCAAGATAATAATATGAAATGTACATATAAATATAAAATATATAGTGAGCCCCATAACTATCTACAAATGATCCAGAATCACATCTAAACATGAACATACGTCCCAAAACACTACTACGTGCTTTATAAAGTGAGTCATACTAGTAAAAACTGTGGTGTGGTTCTGTTTTAAAATCAAGGCTCAACTCCAAAAGATGTCAGAATATTCAACTGCTGCCTAATAAGAAAACGTGGGAAAATATATTAATAGATAGCTCAATGAGTGGAGAAGTTCAAAAATAATTATACTTTTTATTTATACATTTTTATCGAAAATCGAGTTCATATAATTTAATAATTCATAAGATAACATCATAGAATCATAGCCAAGAAGTGAGACATCCTCACAACGCTGTAAACTATCATCTCAAGGTCAAGATATAAATATCAGCGGATAACTATACTATAATTTCATCACATCAAATATACTGAAAAAATCACCTACCCTATGACTGAAATCTATAATCCGCCCCTCAAGTTAAGAACTTTCACCACGGGCCTTTGGCCCCTTTCGTGAACGAAAGTCGATTTCAATACCTCTGTTAATCAATTCTAGAACACAGTCAATGCCCCTCTGTAAATTATATGTACACGGTCAAGACTAATGTCAGGTCAAGACCCATTTGTGTAGGATAGAACACGATCAAGACCCATATAAACAGTATATAATCACAAGTACTTTTCTGATCGATCTCAATATCACATGTTACATTTCAATTCAGAAGTAATCCATGTATAACCTTAATGATTTCACATATATCATAATGACAGAACCTTTCATAATAATCATATAATTGTACAAGAGATCCACATAATTGCACATAATGTAATAGTATAATTAATATATTAATTTTTAAAAATATATAAAATTTTCCACTCACAGATTTATGTATGCAAAATCAATTCTGTTGGTAAACTATCCTGATATCCATATTGCCGCTTAAAATGTGATAAAAATTTTAAATTAACTATTTTTAGAAATTTTTATAATTAAATAGGCGATACCAAAATTTAATCTTTTCACGTTTAAGCGATTTCTACCTTTCCTTCAGTTATTTAAGCTAATTTTTTTCTTCATTTAACTTAATTGCACAACTTGTTAAACTTAATTCAGTAGTTCTCTTTCAATAAAATTGAATTTAAATTAACAACCTAATAACTATAAAATTAAACATGACTTTTCAATAAATAAGTTTTTACTTATCTTCGAATTTGAAGAATTCATGCCTAATTGTAGACGAGCTTATTTTCTAATACGTTGGCGAGATTTCCTTTTTTTTTTTTCTTCTTTCCCTTTTCATCTTTCTTTCTTTCTTCTTTATCTTTTTCCTTTGCCGTGTTTCTCTTCTGTGTGTTAGTGTGTGTTTTGGTTTGGAAAATGGATTCATAATGAAATGGGTTTGATAAGTTTTGGTAAGTATATATCCATTCCACCGCCTAGTAATTAATACTTATTTTATTTTTCAAATCTCTAATTTTGTTGACCAAATATTTGGTTGACTCTTCGAATTAGTTAAAGTATGATAGAATTTCTCCGATTTTTCTCATAATTAATCGGAATAGTAACGATATAGTCATTTATTGGAGCCACAGTTTGACTCACAGCATGATTTGGCTTGAGCCACAATAGTACTGGGCCCTTAAGCCACAATAGAGCCCACAACTTGATTTTCAGTAACCACGAGAGTCACATTCATGTTGGTTGATTCAGTTACAATTTTTGAAAAATTAAATGAATATCAATTTTGAATAGCAATATATGAATTTGTTTGTTCTTACTTTCGAATCTATTTTAAGTTTGTTACAAGAATATAAAATACTATAACTTTCTATTTATCACAGCAAGAATATAAACAAACAGAGAATGAAACTGTAGAAATATAAAAAAAGCTAAAAATACTATAAATCTGCAAATCGAGGCCTATGTGTACACAGTTTTCTTAAAACAGATTTGTCCTTCATTGTAAGTGCTTGAGATTTAGTTTGGAAATTTGTATCTCGGTATACAACAAAAGAATCGATACAATCTATGCACTTCAATTTCTACTCCGATAAATGAATTTGTGTTAGAACACACCACCAAGACTCACACGAAAATGAAATTAATTTTCTAAGAACTGGAATTGGAAATTCTGTAGAAGAGCATGTTATTTTTTTGGTAGTAAATATTGGAAAACAAGCTCTGTTATAAACTTGACCTCCATGAATGGTGAGTAAATCAGTCTATTAACTCAATATTATAATGGCAATAATCATTGGAGTTTCAACACTTTCAGAAGTTAAAAAGTCAGTTAAAGAAAGCAAAAATTCGCAAAAAAAGTTAGTTGGGGAAAGAAAAAAGTAGCAAAATGTGGACACTCCTAAAGTACCAATTTTTGCTTAGTTCAGTCCTACATTCGATACACAGGTCGCACTTGCACACAAATTATGTACAATTTTGATCCTTGACTAGCACCCCTTGCACGCGCACGTGGAGATAGTCTTCATGCTACACATGATTACACCCTTCAAAAGTGTAACCATATATATATATATATATATATATA